TTTCATCATACAGTATATAAAAGACAACAATGCAACACAAATTCGTCTGGACATACCTTTTTTCTTTACCCGTGCTTAATCATCCTCTGTTTCACACCAAGTACAAAAAGTCAATAAATGATAAATTTTTATGCATTTCCTACAGTAACCACACACTATTATTACCCTCAGTTCGCTATGCAGGACATGGTATCTTCATGACTCAAGTGAACCAATCTCTCATCATAATCAGGATAGAATAATTTCTAAAAGCACAAAAGGAAGCCTGATTATTGAATTCATTATAACATTTTATTTTCATTCATGACCACATACTTCCATGAGACTGAAGGCAGTGAAATTCCTCCCTACCATTTACTCCCCCTTTACGCCACAAGTCAAAATCACGGTGCCCAAATTAAAGTAACACTACTGTGCAAAACTGTCTAAGAACATTCTTACAGCCAAATGCCTAAATTTATAATTGTCATAGGTGTCTACAAACCCAAAACCATTGCATATTCCAAATTTTTTTACAAATTTCCAAGAGGACTTGTTCCAATCTCAGCATGTATCCGCTAAAAATCAACATACATGACGATATCTGAATGTAACAAAAGTTAATCAATAAAAATATTTAACACATTATATCCTTAACACTTTATGTAAGAATCTACATATAATTATTTCATACAAAATCTAATAAAATACCATTCCACTACTTTATCAGACCAACTAGATAACTGACTAAACATGAGACTTGATTTAGTTGTTTCACATACATTTCCATTCAAACGTATCTAATGAGAACTGCTTTAGAATAAACATACCTGATAAAAGACATCAGAACTGCACTGTTAACCACACCAGTTCACCTGAAGGGAAATTTATATTCTCAATAATAATTTCCTTTAACAATTACAATATTCATATTAGTCTATTTTTCAGAGATTCATTAGATAAATAATCATATTTTTCATTTGTCCTATCTTTTTTCATCATTGTTCATTTTTACCTCCAAATTTTGTTAGCCCAACTTTTGATGGTATTTACCTTGTAATTAATTAATTAATGCTTCGTATTGGACATATCCCACAACAGATGTGATCAGACTGGGGAATGCACTATCGTGTACAAAGGAGTTATACAGCATATATAGAGAGCTTTTCTGAGAATAGCCATCATTAACTGTAAAATACAGTAAGTTAGGTTAACATTTAATGTATGTAACAAAATTATTGTGTTAACGGTTCAGTTCGCCCTAGTTAGCATCAATGAATCAGTAAATAAACAGATACAATGATTTCATCATACAGTATATAAAGAAGACAATGTAACACAAATTACGTCTGGACATACCTTTTTTTCTTTTGCGTGTAATCATCCTCCTTTCACCTGCATTACAAAAGTCAATAAATGATAATTTACAGCAAATTTTCACCACAGTAACCACACACTATTACCCTCCAGTTAAGCTGTGGGACATGTTGTCTTCATGACTCCGTGAACCAGTCTCTCATCATAATCAGGATAGAATATTTCTAACACAAAAAGGAAGCTGGTGTGGAAGATTAAATGTAACATTTTATTTTCATTCATTTTATACTTCCTTGAGACTGAAGACGAGTGAAGTCACTCCTACCATTTACTCCCCTTTTCTACAAGTCAAAATCCGGTGCCCAATTAAAGTAACACTGTACAAAACTGTCCTAAGAACATTCTTACAGCCAAGCGTCTAAATTTATAATTATCCTTAGGTGTCTACAAACCCAAAAGCCATTGCATACTCAGCTTCAAATTTTTACAGATTTCAAGAGGACTGTTCAATCTCAGCATGTATCACGCTAAGAGTAACATACATGACATTATCTGAATGTAACAAAGTAAATCAATAAAAATATTTAACACATTATATCCTTAACACTTTATATTGTAAGAATCTACATATAATTATTTCATGCAAAATCTAATAAAATACCATTCCACTACTTTATCAGACCAACTAGATGTAACTAAACATGAGACTTTTGATTTAGTTGTTTCACATACATTTCCATTCAAGTAATATCTAATGAAACTACTTTAGAATAAACATACCTGATAAAAGACATCCAGAACTTCACTATTAACCACACCGTTCACCTGAAAGAGGTATATTCTCAATAATAATTCACTTTAACAATTACAATATTCATATTCATCTATTTTTCAGAGATTCCCCATTCGATAAATAATCACTATTACTGGTGTCCTATCTTTTTTTTTCATCATTTATTCATTTTACCTCAAATTTATTGGCCAACTTTTGATGGTATTTCCTTGTAATTAATTAATTATTAACTTCGTATTGGACATATCCACAACAGATGTGATTGAACTGGGGAATGTGCTATCACGTGCTGCACAAAGGGGTTATACAGCATATGTAGAGCTTTTCTGAGGGCCAGCCATCATTTAACTATACCATTAAAGTTAGGTTAACAAGAACCAATGTATGTAACAAAATTATTGTGTTAACAGTTCAGTTTTAGCCCTAGTTAGCATCAATGAATCAGTAAATAAGCAGATGCCAATGATTTCATCATACAGTATATAAAGACAATGCAACACAAATTCGTCTGGACATACCTTTTTCTTTTACGACAATCATCCTCACCTTTCACCTGCAAGTACAAAAAAGTCAATAAATGATAAATTTACAACCAAATTTTCCTACAGTAACCACACACTATTATTACCCTCAGTTAAGCTGTGGGACATGTTGTCTTCATGACTCAAGTGAACCAGTCTCATCATAATCAGGATATAATATTTCTAACACAAAAAGGAAGCCTAGTTAATGAATTCGTATAACATTTTATTTTCATTCATGACCACATACTTCATGAGACTGAAGGCAGTGAAGTCCTCCCACCACCATTTACTCCCCCTTTTCACCACAAGTCAAAATCACAGTGCCCAATTAAAGTAACACCTGTACAAAACTGTCTAAGAACATTCTTACAGCCAAATGCCTAAATTTATAATTATCCCCAGGTGTCTACAAACCCAAAAGCCATTGCATATATTCAGAATTTTTTTACAGATTTCAAGAGGACTGTTCAATCTCCTTGTGTATCCGCATAGAAGTAACATACATGACATTATCTGGAATGTAACAAAGTTAATCAATAAAAATATTTAGCCTTTTATTATATCCTTAACACTTATATTGTAAGAATCTACATATAATTATTTCATACAAAATCTAATAAAATACCAGTCCACTACTTTATCAGACCAACTAGATGTGATAAGCAGGACTTTTGATTTAGTTGTTTCCTTTTGTTTCCATTCAAGTAATATCTAATGAAGCACTTTAGAATAAACATATACCTGATAAAGACATCCAGAGCTACACTGTTATGCACACCCAGTTCACCTGAAAAGAGTATATTCTCAATAATAATTGCCTTTAACAATTACAATATTCATATTATCCTATTTTTCAGAGATTCCCCATTGATAAATAATCACTATTTTCATTTGTCCCTATCTTTTTTCATCATTATTCATTTTACCTCAAATTTTATTGGCCAACTTTTGATGGTATTTACCTTATAATTAATTAATTATTAACTTTCGTGGACATATCCCACAACAGATGTGATCAGACTGAGATGTGCTATCCGTGTACACAAGGGTTATACAGCATATGTAGAGCTTTTCTGAGGGCCAGCCATCATTTAACTGTAATACAGTAAAGTTAGGTTAACAAGAACCAATGTGTAACAAAATTATTGTGTTAACAGTTCAGTTAAGCCCTAGTTAGCATCAATGAATCAGTAAATAAGCAGATACAATGATTTCATCACATACAGTATATGAACAACAATGCAACACAAATTAAGTCTGGACGTACCTTTTTCTTTACCGTGTATCATCCTCACCTTTTACGCAGTGCAAAAAAAGTCAATAAATGATAAATTTACAGCAAATTTTCCTACAGTAACCCACACACTATTATTACCCTCAGTTACTGTGGGACATGTTATCTTCATGACTCCAGTAGACCAGTCTCTCATCATAATCAGGATAGAATATTTCTAACACAAAGGAAGCCTAGTTAATGAATTAGTATAACATTTTATTTTCATTCATGACCACCTTTATGAGACTGAAAACCAGTGAGAATCCTCACCACCATTTACTCCCCCCTTTTCACCCACAAGTCAAAATCACAGTGCAATTAAAGTAACACCTGTACAAAACTGTCTAAGAACATTCTTACAATAAAATGCACAAATTTATAATTATCCTTAGGTGTCTACAAACCCAAAGCCATTGCATATATTCAGAATTTTTTACACAGATTTCAAGAGACTGTTTCAATCTCGGCATGTATCCTGCGCTAAGAGTAACATACATGACATTATCTGAATGTAACAAAAGTTAATCAATAAAAATATTTAACACATTATATCATAACACTTTTATATTGTCAGAGAATCTACTTTAGTATTTCATACAAAAATCTAAATAAATACCATTCACTACTTTATCAGACCAACTGAATGTGACTAAACATGGACTTTTGATTTAGTTGTTTCACATACATTTCCATTCAAGTAATATCTATTAGAAACTACTTTGAATAAACATACCTGATAAAAAGACATCCAGGAAACTGCTATTGTAACCACCCAGTTCACCTGAAAAGGAAATTATATTCTCAATAATATGATTCCTTTAACAATTACAATATTCGCATATTAGTCTATTTTCAGAGATTCCCCATTGATAAATAATCACTATTTTCATTTGTCCCTATCTTTTTTTCATCATTATTCATTTACCTCAAATTTTATTGGCCAACTTTTGATGGTATTTACCTTGTAATTAATTAATTATTAACTCGTATTGGACATATCCCACAACAGATGTGATCAGACTGGGGAATGTGCTATCCGTGTGCACAAAGGGTTATACAGCATATGTAGAGCTTTTCTGAGGGCCAGCCATCATTTAACTGTAAAATACAGTAAAGTTGAGTTATCAAGAACCAATGTATGTAACAAAATTATTGTGTTAACAGTTCAGTTAAGCTCTAGTTAGCATCAATGATCAGTAAATAAACAGATACAATGATTTCATCATACAGTATATAAAAGACAACAATGCAACACAAATTACATTGGACATACCTTTTTTTCTTTTTACCGTGTAATCATCTCCACCTTTCACCTGCAAGTACAAAAAGTCAATAAATGATAAATTTACAATGAAATTTTTCTACAGTAACCACACACTATTATTGCCCTCAGTTAAGCTGTGGGACATGTTGTCTTCATGACTCCGTGAACCAGTCTCTCATCATAATCAGGATAGAATATTTCCTAGCACAAAAGAAGCCTAGTTAATGAATTCGTATAACATTTTTATTTTCATTCATGACCACATACTTCATATGAGACTGAAGGCAGTGAAGTCCTCCCTCACCATTTGCTCCCTTTTCACCACAAGTCAAAATCCTGAAAGTGCCCAATTAAAGTAACACCTGTACAAAACTGTCTAAGAACATTCTTACAGCCAAATGCCTAAATTTATAATTATCCTTAGGTGTCTACAAACCCAAAAGCCATTGCATATATTCAGAATTTTTTTTACAGATTTCAAGAGGACTATTTCAATCTCAGCATGTATCACGCTAAGAGTAACATACATGACATTATCTGAATGTAACAAAGTTAATCAATAAAAATATTTAACACATTATATCAACAACACTTTATATTGTAAGAATCTACATATAATTATTTCATGCAAAATCTAATAAAATACCATTCCACTACTTTATCAGACCAACTAGATGTGACTAAACATGAGACTTACCCCGATTTAGTTGTTTCACATACATTTCCATTCAAGTAATATCTAATGAAACTACTTTAGAATAAACATACCTGATAAAAGACATCCAGAGCACCACTGTTAACCACCAGTTCACCTGAAAGAGGTATATTCTCAATAATAATTCCCTTTAACAATTACAATATTCATATTCATCTATTTTTCCAGAGATTCCCATTCGATAAATAATCACCCTATTTTATTTGTCCCTATCTTTTTTTCATCATTATTCATTTACCTCAAATTTTATTAGCCCAACTTTTGATGGTATTTACCTTGTAATTAATTAATTATTAACTCGTATTGGACATGTCTCTGTAGATGTGATCAGACTGGGGAATCTTTTTAGTAATGCACAAAGGGTTATACAGCATATGTAGAGCTTTTCTGAGGGCCAGCCATCATTTAACTGTAAAATACAGTAAAGTTAGGTTAACAAGAACCAATGTATGTAACAAAATTATTGTGTTAACAGTTCAGTTCGCCCTAGTTAGCATCAATGAATCAGTAAATAAACAGATACAATGATTTCATCATACAGTATATAGAGAACAACAATACCCAACACAAATTACGTCTGGACATACCTTTTTTCTTTTACCGTGTAATCATCCTCACCTTTCACCTGCAAGTACAAAAAGTCAATAAATGATAAATTTACAGCAAATTTTCCTACAGTAACCACACTATTATTACCCTCAGTTAAGCTGTAGGACATGTTGTCTTCATGACTCCGTAGACCAGTGTCATCATAATCAGGATATAATATTTCTAACACAAAGGAAGCCACAGTTAATGAATTCGTATAACATTTTTATTTTTTCATTCATGAGCACATACTTCATGAAGAGACTAGAGCAGTGCAAGAGTCCTCCCTGCTGTTACTCCTCCTTTTCACCATAAGTCAAATCACAGGTGCCCAATTAAAGTAACACCTGTACAGAACTGTCTAAAGAACATTCACCTGGCCAAATGCCTTAATTTATAATTATCCTTAGGTGTCTACAAACCCAAGGCATTGCATGTATTCAGAAAAAAATTACACAGATTTTCCATGACACACAGAGATGTTTCAATCCTCAGCATGTATCCGCGTTAGAGTAACATACGCAAGCATTATCTGAATGTAACAAAGTTAATCAATACAAATATTTAACACATTATATCCTTAACACTTTACATTTACTCTTACATAACTCAAATGCAAGAATCCACATATAATCTTTCATGCAAAATATAATAAAATACCATTCCACTATCTTTATCAGACCAACAACTAGATGGGACTATCCACAAGACTTCGGATTCCGGTCGTTTCACATCTATTTCAAATTCAAAGAATCTAATGAAATTACTTTAGCATAAACATACCTGATAAAAGACATCCAGAGCACCACTTAGCCACCAGTTCTTCCGATTCCCACAAGAGAAATAATCACTATTTTCATTTGTCCCTATCATTCTTTCATCATTATTTGTTACCTAAAATTTCATTGGTGCCTTTTGATGCTTCTTACCTTGTAATTATTAACTCATCTTGGGCATATCCCGCAACAGATGTGATCAGACTGGTGAATTTGCTATCCGTTGTGCACAAGGGGTTATCCCCAGCATAATATATGGGGAAGCTTTTCTGAGGAATGACCATCATTTTATCATAACAAAAATAATGTTAAGTTAACAAGAGCTAATATCTATAACAATTATAGTATGTTAACAATTAGTTTAACCCTAGTTAGCATCAATGAATCAGTAACCAAACAGATACAATTTCATTATAGTAATGTATATAAACAACAAGCAGGACAAATTACATCTGGACCTTTTTTATACTGTTTTTATTCTCCTCCACAATAAATTAAGTTAATTATAAATTCCAAAGATTTTTTGTTCTGCGGTAATTTGATGTCGACCTCAGTACGTCGTAGTATATTTTGAATTCATGTCTCCAAGAACCAGTGATCATTATAACCAATAAGAACAGTTAACCAGATATCTGCTGTCTTTACAACAGTTAATCCTGAAAAGACATCCAGATATATTCAATTTCCCTGACAAACACAACACATTATTCAGGTTTCATCATCCATCAGAGATATTCCCAAAAGATAAATAATCATATTTCTCATTTGTCCCTATCAATCTTTCATCATTACTCCTTTAGCTAAAACAAATCCTACAGTAACCTATATTTGAAATAATAGATACAGTATTCTTTGGGTCCTCCTTCTTGTACCTGCAATAAATAAACTGAAGTTAACAAAACTTACAGAAATAGACCTGGATACAGAATGCCATAATTTAAATCAATAACATACATTAATTTCATATACTAACAAAAGTTTAAAATCAAGTACAATACATCTAGACATCACTTACCATTGCAAAAAAGAACAAATGGGGCGGTTTTCCCTCCATTTTGTTCCTGCTACCATAATCTGTAATCAAAGAACAGTAATGTTTATTTTCATTTGAATACAGTACTGGCAAATGATTTAAGTTCAAACCAAGTAAACAGAAAAACGTCTTTCCTATAACAAAATCCAATAAAGTGTGCAGTGTACCAGAGATTGGAGGCCACATAAACCCTAGTCAATGTAGTACTATGACTCTGGATGTTGTTCTTGGTTGGTTATGGAGCCCCAAAGTCAGTCAACTGACAAGACGTCAACCGATCTGACACAAGGCATTGGCCAAGGGTGCCCTGTTACCAACCACATCTGAATAACCATAAAACAAGCACAGGACAAAACCAAAACAATGTCTACTGCAGTATACACAGTTAACATATCCACAAGAATATCCATAAAGAGAAAATAAATCTTAATAGATTTAAGTTGAACAAAAACTTTTTTCATTGACTACTTGTCTCATTAAGAATGGCTCAAGCAGAACCTTAAAAAAATATTAGCTACTATTATCTTTTTTAATAATCCAGCACAAAATTTCCTAAGAAAAGTCAGCCTGCATATAAATCTGGTTTTATACAAACCAGCCACTACATATTCAAACCTCAAGGTTAATACCAAGAAACAATTATGCCAACTATTCAGAAAAAAATATAATTATTGTATAACCAAAGACTACAACTGATTCACCAACTTCAATCATAGATACAGAGGGAGAGAAAAAAAATGTAGCTAATGGATCGTCTGAACCTAAGGAAATTTCAAATTCAGTATAAATTTCACAAACACCCATCAACCTACATAAATCAAGAATAAGAAGTACCTAGTGTATAAAATGGAAAAAGCTACCTCATGAACTGCCTTTATTATTGACAAAAGACAGTGAATCTTGGCAGAGTATTAAAGAACCTGAGAATGTAAACTCGGCTTAATGCCACCAAAAGAAGATCTTAAGTATAATGTAAACATCATCTACAGTACTTATACTTACTATCTAAAAACTGGACTAGTGGACCAGCAATCCTCTTCACTGTCTTACTGCCACCTTAATCTGTAATACAATATGTTTGACTATTTTCATTTGAATACTGGCAAATAAAGGATTTAAGATCAAAACAAGTAAACAAATACATCTTTCCTATAAAAAAAATCTGATTGTGTGTGCAGTGTACCAGAAATTGGAGGCCACATAAACCATAGTCAATGTAGTACTATGACTCTGGATGTTGTTCTTGGTTGGTTATATGGAGCCCCAAAGTCAGTCAACTGACAAGACGTCAACCGATCTGACACAAGGCATTGGCCAAGGGTGCCCTGTTACCAACCACATCTGAATAACCATAAAAAACCTGAAGTATAAGACAACACCAGAACAAAGTCTACTGCAGTGTGCATAGTTAAGATATGAACAACAATGTCCAATGAAGAGGAATTAAAGCCCATGTATTGAAGCTGTACTTACACACATACACATGAAAGCAAAGATACGGTTATGTTTTATTCGGGTCCGACCCCACCCCCATAAACACACAAGTAACCTTCTGAATCTAAAGGTTTGAACCCCCTGCTAATAACATTGAGCCACCTGTAATCAGTTTGCAATCAAACCAAAAAAGAAATGGAGGGTATTTCAGTTTATATGCCCTAACAAAAATCTAGATAAATAATTTTAAGTGTAAAAGAACACAATCTGGCTTAGATTTTTCTGCAAAAACAGAGGACACTGACCTAAAACTGGTTTACACATCTTTCACTCTTATAATTAAGTAACATATGCAAGAGATAACTTCTGCTTTTTTTTTACTGCAAAGCTTTCTAAACAAGATGCAGACCACTGTTGTAACCCAGCTAAAATAAATTTATGCTTAAAAAAAAATTCTTAATTCATACTTATATCTTCTTTATACTGCACACACATTTCTTTTTTTCCCACTTGCATTCCTCTCCTACAAGAAATATTACAGGATGGTAAAAATAAAAAAAATAAATCATATTTCCTGTTGTAATAATTTATGTTCTCTTTCCCCAAATAGTATCTATCTGATGGAGACTGATAGACAAGTGTCAACAGAACACATCCACCTTAGGAGTTCCAACTTACCCATTATGAAGGTAGGAGGAGTCAGTGGCAACAGGTAACATTTGAGTTACTGCCAAATAAAAGTGAGCCTGAAGAACAGTCATTCCTTAGTGACATTCCTCTCATCCCACCACCTTGTTTAGTTTGAACTCTGTAAATAAAAACAGTTTTGTTGCTTATGGTTGCAAATCTAATTACTTTGAATAGTTTACTCTTGAATAGAATTTTAATGCCTTTGTCTGTAATGGCGAAATGGATGCGCCATATGATTTATGGAGTCCACAACCAACCTCACTTTTATTCTAGCACCTGCAATTTTAAGAATAAAGTACTCGCCTACTTCCTTTTAGAAAAGACCTTGCAGTGCCACTATTATCCTAAACTAACTGGAACCAATACACAACCAATGTTCTGACTGCTATAGTCAAAATATATTCATAGCCATACAAAAACATTCCTCTTCAGAGATCATATACTGTATAATATATACAGTATATATACAGGCAATCCCTACTCACGGGCAGGGTTAGAGACCCAAATCCAGGTCGTAAGTCGAAAAAAATAAATAGAAAATCTAAAATGGGTGTCTCTTTCTTCTCAGCACCACAACTCATTTTGAAGCTTGCCAGCCATTTTAAAGGCAATTACAAACGAAAATTGTCAGTACACAGTGCAATCACTAATATATATATATATATATATATATATATATATATATATATATATATATATATATACTATATATATATATATATATATATATATATATATACACAGTATATATATACAGTACGAACGCCTCGGTTAACGAAATTTCGGTTAACGAACTGCCTTCCATAAGGATCTTCAATTCGGTTAACGAACAAAAATTCGGTTAACGAATTTCTTACGAACCGACCTCAACATGTTTTCGCTTGCACTAACCAGGCAACCAGCTTTAGTGTCAGTCCGCCAATACATTAATCGGTTCTAGGGCTTAAATTCCTTACTATTTTAGTAAATATCAAGAAGTTTATACTTTTCAATAATTTTAAAAGTTTAATATTCAATTTTTTAGTCATTTTAACAATTATTGAACATAATTGAAGGTAAAGTGACTAGTTTAATGCGTGGCATCCAGCCTCTTAACACAGCAAACAGGCGTTAGTCTCTCTCTGTTTTCACTGGAGGTAACATCTTGCTTGAGACTCTCTTCAACTAAATGCTTTTTTTCTGTGTTTCCAAGCAAGTTATTGGTCATTTTGAAATATATTTTACATATTGACAATATATAATGCAGTGCAGTGTTGATTTAAAGAAAATAATCTTGAATTACACCAAGAGAGCTAAAATTTTATGGGTGAAATGGCGCCATGGGGTGACTTCTCTTCCACCCCAATGCCTTTTCTTCCTTCTCCTCCACCCCCATTCTAAATCCCATCATCATCATCATCCAGGAGCCTTCTACATACACACTTCAAAGTAAGTGAACCTTTCTACCATTTTTGTTGAATTTAGGAAATTTTCAGTGAGCTGGAACCAATTACCCAAAAACCCATTGAAACAATGGTTTCGGTTAACGAACTTTTCGGTTAACGAACGACCTTCTGGAACGGATTGAGCTCGTTAACGGAGGGGTCACTGTATATATATATATATATATATATATATATATATATATATATATATATATATATATATATATATATATATATATATATATATATATATATATATATATATATATATATATACTCTATTACTTCATGCTGAGACTAAACCTAGAAAGTCAAAGTATCGGGAGTACAGTTTATTATAATTCCTTCAATCATTAACCAAGGAAAAGATAAACATAGGAATCTGCATTTTAATGGAGACCAATTGCAATTTTAGCCTCTGCTCATCACCTGAAGATTAGCCCCCTCCAAGTACCCACATGAAGCC